AGGAGCAACAGAAGAAGAGGGTCTGTAAACAAGCACAGTGGTCTTCCAAGCCAGGGCTCAGAGAGCTTAGTTTTCTAAGAGGCTGACTGCAAGAGTCCCTGAATTGAGCAACGGTCCTTGACGTAAGTAGCATTTCTGCCAAGGGAAATGGTAATACCAGGCAAAGCCCCACGGATTCGTATTCCTTTTACAATTCCATGAGGTGCTCATAATCACAGGGACAAGGTAAGCGGCTAATTAGTGTGGCAGTCATGGAACTTCTTTCACTCAACAAATATATTTTCAACTTGAAACAATTCCTTTGGTGGTCATTTGAAAGTTCTAGCAAGACAGAGACCTTCTCTCCAAGATTCCCACTTCTCTTTTCCAGCTGGAATAATTCCAAGGTATAATGACATTTGACCTACTGAACTTTAGAATTTCATATTAAAAACTAATCTTTCCATCCAACAAATAGTTATTGAGTGATTACTACCTGGTATGCAGCAGTAAAGAAATGAGATAAAATCATTGTCCTCACTGAGCATAGTGGTGCACGTCTGTAATCCCAGCCACTTGGGAGGCTGAGGCAGGAGGATTGTGAGTTCAAGGCCAGCATGGAACAACTTAGCAAGAACTTGTCTCAAAATGAAAGATAAAAGTAGCTGGGGACCTTGCGATGGATGGACAGGGAAGGAAGGGAGCAGAAGGGGAGCAGCCCCAAAGAATTAAGATATGTTATATACACGTACCTCCTCCCTACAGTGAATGTAATCAATATGTACACACCACAAATGCGTACTAACAAAGTAAATTTTTCAAAAAAGGACTGGGGCTGTAGCTCAGTGGTAGAGCACCTTGGGGTTCCATTCTCAGGATAAGCATGAGGAGTATGGGGGCTGTAACTAAGGAGACCAGTTAGGAAGAATAACAGAGACTGATGGACACCACTGCTTCTTTCTTTTTAGTGGCAGAACCATGACTTTCTTTTTCTCTTCTTTCTCTTCTTCTTCCTCTCCTCCTCCTCTTCCTTTTCTTTCTCCTCTTCCTCTGCCTCCTCCTCTTCCTCTTCTTATTCCTCTTCCTTCTCTTCTTCTTTCACTTTTGAACTTCTTCTTTCACGGCAACAATGTGCCCAGCTAAAATCTGTATTTCCTAGCTCCCCTTCCCCATTACAACTAGACATAATTCTGACCAGTAAACTGTAAGACAGGTTCTTAGTACTTTTTGTAACACAGCTTACAAAGAACATATTGTTTTAGAGGGAATCTTTAGTTTCTCCCTACTGCCAATGTGGAACATAAATTCCACTGTGATGGCTGGTCCTCCAGTGGCAATCTTGGATCATAAAACCACCTTTAGGATGGAAGCTGCATGCTGAGGATGGTGGAACAGAAAAATCAGACAGGTCTCTGATGATAGCATGGCAATACTATGACACCTCTGGACGTCTGTTGGTGGACTCATTTCACAAAAGGGAGGAATAAACATTCATTGGCTTAAGCCCCTGACATTTTTGTTTTTTTTTAGTTAAATATAGCTAAACTTAAATGTAACTGATAGCAACAATTCAGGTGAGAGAAGATGCTGTCAAAAATGGTCAGATTCTGATGTGTTCAAAAGAAGCCTATAGAATTTGCAAGTGATTTAGATACAGGAGTGAAGGAAAAAGAAGATAAAGGAAGACTGTTAAGTTGGGGATCCAAGTGGCTTGATAGTGATGTTCTTTAGGGAGATGCAGAAAGCTGGGGGCACTGGGATTAAGGCTGGCATTAGATAGAAACAAGGTCTAGTACCTAACTGGCAGAGTTACCTTTGACTAAAGCAAGGGTACACTGAGGCTGGACAACAAGGCAGGAAGCCTGTGCACAGGCTGATGGGGAGCTGAGTGAGCTCCTGTCCTACCGCTTGTGTTCCTCAATAAGCTACAAGGCAAGGTCAGCAGCAGGGACTGAAGGGATAAACGCTGAGGGCTGAGATGAAAAGAGAAAAGCTGTGAGATAGTCTTTTTAGAGAGTGGGATTTCCAGGTAGGGATGAAGGTGCCCTTTAAAGGGAAGCCAGTGGCAATGCTGTGTGTTTTTCTATGATGCAGGCCAGTTGCAGAGCTGGGTTTAACAGAGCCCAAATTTCACTAGGCAAATACTCAAGGATGTAAAACGAGAGAAACAAGGTGGTCAATAGAAAAAGAGCTCAGAATGATGCAGCCGGAGTCCAAACTGGATAAGGAAGGAAGCCAACACATTAGATGAGTGAAGGATGAAAGAGTTGAAGGTTCTTGAAAAGGCTGAGAAACTGCTGGAGTGAGGGCCCTAGAAAAGCTAAGCTTAGGGTACAAGGTGAAATGGTCAAAGGATTGGATGGCTGAAAAGGAGGCTCTGGAGGAGATGTGGTTTGTCCTCAGGCAGGCCAGGTCAAACAAGTCCCAGAGGACTTAGGTGAGAAAGGGGAACAGTCACTGGAAAGAGAAGGAACTGAGACGTCTAAGATGGTGTCACGTAAAGCATATCAAATGGTAAGACTACTAATAAAAGTTCACAAATTCCTATAATTAATAGATTTATCTGATTCCATTTATTAGTATAAATGTTTTCAATGAAAAAAGAATAAAAGAGACATTTATGGAGCTTCAAAAAACAAAATTTTGCCCAAGCATCTGTTTGGGTTGGGTGAAAATTCAAAGCATTTTTCCCCCCCATGTGAAACTTCTTTGTATCTTGATATCTTTTTTCTTTTTCCTTCTGTGAAGTTTTTCTAGGCAACTAATCTATTAACATAATTGACTTTTTTTCCCCTTGTAACATTCCTCGTGTCACAGCTTGCTTCTTCTGAGCTAGTCTTTGCATTTCTTACTGTATTTTAAAACTTTTATTCCGTATTTATTTATATTCTCAGATGTTTGTTTCCTTTTTTCCTGCTCCTGTTCCTCAGATTTCTTTCCTTAGAAGAAAGAATGGGGCGTTTCCCAAAGTATGCTGAGATTAGTGTCTTGGGCGGGACCCATGAACACAGAAGGTCTTGCATACCCATACCCTTTTATTTTTCTTCACCATGTGAGCATTGAGATTACAGGGCCAGGCCTCAGGAACAGGTCGTTTGTCGAAGATTGTCTCTAAAATATGCTGAAAATTGGTGCCTCCCATAGCCTAGGCCCTCTTCATGAACTCAGAAAATATTAACTGGGAGTCTATTCTGGCTTCCTCATTGCACTCATTAAAGTAATTCACATTAATGGGCAGTGACTGATTGGCTTAATTCTCTCAGGGGCATTCAAATTTCTAAAATGTGTGCATTAATCCAGATAAAACTCTGATTCAGGAAATATATGTGAAATCATTTATGCTATTCATGAGTTTCTGTGACAGGGGTTCCAAAGTGGCCTTCCTATCCCTTAGAAAGCTGGACAGGAAAACAGAGTCAGGAGCTTCTGCGCGCACGCAGAAGTCTGTGCGAGTGTGGGTTCGTGCCACACCGCCCACCTCATTTCTGACCACGTCCAGCTGGTGACCTGTATGTTCACCCATGTTCCAAGTCAAGAAACGGAGATCTCATTTATGGGTTATAGTTAAGCCAGATTGTGTTTTAATTGTAAATTCTTATACTCAGGATCCTATTCTCGAATCTTCCACAGAAAATTCTTCAGATATCCAACAGGGTAGGCAGGTTGATAGGACCAAAGACTTGGAATCAGAGGTTTTTGGTTCCTCTTTCTTTAACCCGGTCGTTCCTATTGAAAAATGCAGAACGACTCGGGAGCCAGAGAAGAGAAGTACCAAAGATAGGTTTCAGTTCTCAATGCTGGAAGGCATCTTCCAGCCCCCCATGCAGATGCTGAGGAGGGCTCTGGCTAGGAGATAGTACCGTGCAATGGTTAGCGTAGTGGGCTGGGGTGTCTAACTGCGCCACCCAATCAGACTCCTGCCGGCTCTGTGACCTTGGGCAAGTCGTAGAAGCCTCAGGTGACGCAGCTTTTACCCACAGTGATAAAATTTTCTTAAAGCGTGGCTGCTGAGAGCAGCCGAATAACCATCCCCTTCCGAGGTTGTGTGTGTCTGCGAAGCTCAGCAGGTTCTCATTTCCAGAAATTTGCCCAGGAAGGGAAGAGAGGCAGCGATGAAGTAGGTGTGCACGGGGACAGAGCTCTTTCCTTTCCTATCTGCTAGAGAAATGTCCTAGCTTTTGCCGTGTACTCCACCCGCTGCCTCGCCGGTCGCTCAGTGCAGCTAAGGACCAGGAAGGCGCCAGCGTCCCCTGCTCTCTAGCAGCGAGTTGGGGAGCCGAGGCCGGCCCTGCGGGGCACGTTCAGTGTTACATTTCCCCTCATTTGCTCTTTTACCATCTCAGCTAAGTCTTGAACTCATCCCTAGAACCTTTCATCGGCCTTTTGTGAACAGCTCGCGTGGGCTGCTGAAAGAGAACCAAGTTTCTAAAACGAAAACACAAATACTGTTTGGAGTAAACTCAGTGGTGCTTCTCCCCGCCGTTGACGAGACGGAAGGCAGCGGGCCCCAAGAGGTCGCTGGTGGCGCAGGAACGGAGGCGAGAGGGTAGAAAAAGGGAGAAGGAAGAAAAAAACAAAAAGAAAACACGCAGAAACTTTCTTCCTCGTAGCGGATGATCGCCCCCTCCCGCCCCCGCCGCGGCGGTAACGTGACACCCGAGCGAGACTCGGCCTCGGGACCGGCGGGAGAGGGAGGGCGCAGCGCGGCGCGGGGAGCGGGCTGCGGGGCGCAGGGGGAAGGGAGGAGGTGGAGGAGGAGGAAAACCCCTGGCCAGGAGGTGGAGCGCGGGGACTGGGTCCGCCTCCCGCGCCTCCTGCCGTTTCGTCGGAGCAGCCCGGGACTCTACACGCCGAGAGCGCCGCGCACAAAGCCGCGGTTGCGCTGGCGCTGGGGCGAGCGCGGGGCGTGGCGGGGCGCGGGGGCGCTAGCGGGCGCGGAGCGGCGGGGACCATGCCGGGCAAAGTCTCCTGAGCGCGGCCCTCGGGCCTCCCCGCCCCCACGGCTGCCCTCTGCGCGGCCCTCCCTCCCCATGTGCAGCCGGCCGGCCGCGCTCCCCTCGCGGCGGAGGGCGACCTCTTCCTGGCCCGGGCCGGCGGTGCGAGGCGGCGGAGCAGGCGATGAAGAAGAAGCAGCCCCAGCATCCCGGCGGCGGCGCGGATTCCTGGCCCCATGCGGCCCCGGCTGGGGGCGCCCCGGCGGGCCTGGGCGGCTGGAAGCGCCGGGTCTCCCTGCTGCCTCTCCTGCGCTTCTCCCTCCGGGACTACGGTTTCTGCATGGCCACCTTGCTGGTCTTCTGCTTGGGCTCCCTCTTCTACCAGCTCAGCGGGGGACCCCCTCGCTTCCTGCTCGACCTGCGACAGTATCTGGGTAAGGACAGGCAGCAGGCGCGAGCGCGGGGCGGGCCGTGCAAAGTTGTGCCCGGAGGAAGAGGGGGCGCACCGCGACTTGGGCTCCCGCCCCAGGTGTGATGCCGCGACATCCGGCGGCGCAGCCCGGGTGGGGCAGCGCCTGCTTCTGCGCGTCCGGTTGTTCTCGACCGGGGTGTCGCTGGGTTGCGGGGCCAGGCAGGTACCCCGGGGCCGAGCGCCACACACCTGCCCCGGCTCTGCCACCCCATTTGGATGCGCCTGTGTTTGTGAGTGCGTGTGAGTGAACGTTCTGGCCCGGAGATGCGGGCAGAGCAGAGGAAAGGGACTGTCCCCTCCGTGCCATCGTTAGTTACTACAGTACCGTCCGTCCCGCGCTCTGAGTCGTGCAGGTGGGTTTAGCGCATCTTCCCCCAGACCAGTTCTATGAATTGTGCTCGGCAAGTCCCTCTCCTGCCGCCCGACCACGGAATCTGCACGCTGTCCCAGACTGGTTTGTTCCTTGACAGCTCCTGCTTACCCCGCCGGCCGCAGCAACCGTGACAAGGGGGGCAGGCTACGCCCAGGGATCTAGAGTTTTCTGAAAATTCCAGTCATCCTGGCCAGCCGTGATCTGGTGATCCTCAGCGCTGTGTGTGTCTCAGCCGCGAACTTTTTCCCTTGGTTTGCCAGTTATTTTGTTGAGAACAAGGCTGCCTATTTGTAGCAGAGGTAAGGAAGAGGTTGTACTGGGCGAGAAAAAAGGGACGGTGCTGGCGAAAGGAGGATGCAAATCTCGCTCAAGTCTGCGGCCAGAAGAGGTCGTACAGGGGTTTTGAGAGAAGCTGGGAGAGCTCCAGTTTCTTGGGAACTTCTGAGGTGATGAACCTGAGCACAGTGGCAAACGTCCAGCCTCTGCAGAGGAGAGCAGGTATGGAAAAGCTACAGTAAAGTGCTGCAAAGAAGATGGGCCAAATGACCCAGGCCGGCTGCAGACTTGTCACACTTACCCCAAATGTCCCATCATCGCGGAAGTTACAGGTTTAGGTAGCAGCCCTTTTGAGAGGAAAAGCAAACCAACCACATCAGCAAAGTGACGGATACGTTAGGGCACTTTGAAATAGAACCACAGATAAAATAATGTATCATTTTTCCACGTAGAGAAGGAGCTCGGATTTTAAACTTTACACTTCTCTTTCAAAAAAACTTTGGGCACTATGGCTTTGTGAGATATTTTAGGGAAAATTGAAGGAAACTAAACTATTGCCCATAACCAAAGTGTAGTTCTTAGTATTTGGTTTTATAGACGATTTGGAGTAAGGGAAACAAATCTTTTGCTGGTTTTCTGAGTTGTGTATTGTGGACTTCAGCTTTCTCAGCTTTCAGACCTGCTAGAAGCCCAAATATAACTTGTCTTCATTAGCAACAGTCGTTTAATTAGTATTGAGATTCAAAAGTTGAAGCTCTGGGGTCTTTGTCCATTAAAATCTGATCATTTTTTTTTGAGACAGGGTCTCTCTATGTAGTCCAGGCAGGCCTTGAACTCACCACTATCCTCCTGCTTCAGCCTCCTAAGTGCTAGGATTACAGGGGCATACCTGGCTTGATAAAGAATTTCTTGCAGGTGCTCCTTTAAAGCAAATATGAAGTCCAGTGATGGAGAGAAATGTATGTGAGATGGGGCTGGAGACATTTGTGTCTGCTGTCCTCAAGAGCTCTTGACCTTGGGCAGGATAATCAAACTCTGTGGCCTTGGTTTTTCATTGTAAAATTGGGAATTGGACTAGATATCTCTAAAACCTCTACCAAGAAACTAAAATTCTGTGGTTATGATAACCTTTTTTGCGGGGGGGCGGGGAGGAAAAACCTAGGGGAAGGAAGGAGCAAAGGCACTATAAAGAGTAAAATTAAGAACTTCAGTGCGTGTCACATTTTCCTTGTTGCTGTATATCTCACAAAGTGGAGCCTGGTACATTTGGGTGGTTGGTAGAAGAGTAGATTGGTAATATTTACCTGGGGTCTACAAGGACCCAAAAGAAGAGCTCTACTCCTGCTTGTTACTAACTGATCATTAAGTTTCTGAGTGTCACAGCTGGTTAAAAATAGCATCGGTGTACACTCAAAATAGGATACCCTTGGCTAAATTTGTTCTTTTGTCACATAAATCAAATAATGATTTTAGGGAAAAATGGCAGTTTGTTGTCTAGGATGGTGTAAATTATGCCCTGAATGATACCAGGCCATGGTAACTGCAGAAATGTCTCCCCTCTTTTTTCTCCATTCTATCATTTTTGTGTCTGTCCACACAAAATTTGTGGTTAGTAAACACATGCGATCAATTTCTTTAGTTAACTAATTGTGAAGGCAAATGCTTTTCTTAAATGTAAATTCATATAAAGTCAGAATTTTCCAAATGAAAATAATATTCATATCAACCTTTTTCTTTACAGGGTATAATTTCAATATATTTGGGCAGTATTATATATTTGACACAGGGGCTACTCTATAATATTTCTTTATATCATCTAGATAATCTAGATAAGTAGGTAATATGTTTATTATATTGAATAGTCTTACAGGAAAGCCAGGAGACACGGACCTTTATGATGGAAACTATCATTGTGTAGGATCCGTCAGTGCACATTCAGTGCCTTTGGTCATGCACTGAAACCTGTAAGACTGTGAGCCAAAATAAACCTCTCTTTATAACTTACTTCATCTCAGATATTTGTTGCAGGAATAGAAAGCTTACTAACACGGCAGACACACAGCAAATAAGGCAGGATCTAAACCCAGCTCTGTCTGGTTCTAGTACCAATTGCACACTGCTATGGGCAGTTTAAAACAGAAAATGGAAATATAGCCAAGATGCAAATGGAAATCTAAAGGGCTAATTGGCTAGAAGATCATCATATTTACTTCCATAATTTCACTTTCCATTTCTTCATACTTTCACTCTGACTGTCTTGAAAGGCCAGCAGTGAAGTGAATAATTCCAGCAGCTGCTGTGTTCTAACGTTGCCTTCCTGTATTAATACCCACCGTGCTGCCTCCCTGTACCAGAGAGCTAAACTCTGCCTGAGCCACGCAGCAGCGGAGCTGATGTTCATTGGAATTTCACTGTCCCGGGATTTCTCTTTCTTTGGCAGTTTTTCTGTGTCTGAGGAATAGTTCTTCGTGTGGGTTGGAGCATTGCATCACCTGGGAATTTGCTGCAAATGCAAATACTAAGGTCTCTTCCCAAACCTGCTAAATGAGTCTGAGCCTGAGGCCTAGCAGCCTATGTTACAAGCAACTCCTCCAGGTGATCCCAATGCAGTTCCTGTTGAAGAACTATTCTGGGTGTTGCTGTCAGGAGGCTTCCCCTGTATTTGAAAGTGGGGTGTGTGTGTGTGTGTGTGTGTGTTGGATAACAGAATTATAAAATTTAAAGGTTTAAATGTTAGTTTAAATGTTAAAGGTTAGTTGTGCCCATGGTTTCACTTTTTAATTTCAACTTTTAAACTTGCATCTGCTTTTCTGCTTAAGCACCATTGTTTCAAGGGAAGGACCAGCCAGCAGCTGCAGCCCCAGCTGGCCTTAGACTCTGTGAGGTTAGGAGAGGCACGGGAGGCGGTGCAAGGAGGCAGCCAGACAGCAGAGTGTGGCAAAAGGAAGAGACAGGAGACAGTGGTGATGCTTTCTCTTTCCGCAGCAACCAGGGTATCAAATTGGGGAAGGGCAGAGTATGTCCTAAAGATCTTCCTCTTGCAACAAATTTGAAAAGAGGAAGGGAATTAGAGGGAGAAAAATGAGGTCCGCATAATTGTTGTGTTGATGCTCCACCCCAACACTGGTGGAGGGAAAACACAGTCAGTGGAGTTAAGGGGTACATGTAGTAAAGGCTATATTTAAACATTGGAGACCATCATCTTTCCAATACAGCAAAATTCTCCTTTTTTGAAGAAGCATTCAAACTTTGATTTACTATGGAAAACAAACAAAAATCAAATAATATATCCCCCCAGAAATTAGGTTATGATGCGGGCTCATTGCCATTACTTATGAGCTGTGAAAATATCAAAAACTTGGAATAACACTTTTTAAATTGATATAAACAGAATAAGCCAGATGGTTCACTACTGATCTGGTGCAACTGGCAGACTCTAATGATTTATCATCAAGCCTTAGATATATGACTTAGTCTTTATGGGAGCTAAATTCACTGGAGTGATCTTCATTAGTTATGCTTGCTTTTCCATTTTTAATTTATGGCATTTTAAATGGGTATATAGTACTTTAGTTCTCTGAGTTGCCCAATACTTATATTATATTATATTAACCTGGAAATTTGGAGTCAAAAAATAAAAGAAACATGTTATTTTATTGAATTTGATCTTCTTCAAGTTTGAATAAAGAGAATGTGAAAATAGGGGTCTAGATCTATTACAAAACAGTTTCTTCAAACCTCAAAGCAAAATTTTATTTTTCTTCTGCTCATCACATGCAGTTTAAATATAGTACTTTTGGCTGCACACAATAATGTAGAAACTAATGCAGAAAATATGATGCTATCAATACAAATTGTTGACATAGGAAAAATGACATTTTTGTTCATAGCTGCAAATTTATCTTGTCGAGTTGGTTGGGGATGCACAGTAGCACTGTATTTCAGGAAAAGCAGAATGGCATTTAACTATGGCAGTCTGTTCTGTAAACATAGCATGAATGGTGAAAAGCCTTGTAAACTATTTTAAATGTAGAGTAGTCTCATCTGACTTGTTTAAAAATACATATAAATAGGAATTATCTGGGTACTGTCTTCCTTCAAATTTCCTGTCATAGATCCAGGTTTAAGACAGTAGTTGGTTTGTTTTGGAGAAATTAGAAATAATGTGGTCAAGCATTTTGAGTCCCAAGAGAAACAGTATCTTTTGCTTCCCCAGAGCGAGTCTGAGGGGGCAGAAACAGTAGCTTGCCTTGCAGCTGTACTAATGTGTATCAGTGATGGACAGAAAAAGCACCTTATTTGATGGACTGAAG